AACATCTTCAAAAATTTAATCAGCCTAGCAAGGTTAGTTATGGAATATTTTCGCATAACGATATGAGCGCAATATCATACTATCCCAATTAGTCTTGTCCTTTTCCCAAAAGGAATTCTTATAAAATAGTCGACTGCAGCTTTTACCTTGTCTTGGTCTCATTAGTACATCCAACGGGAATCAATAATCTCGAAAATTTAATTATTACGCATAAAAATTTAATACCACCAGATAATATATATCCCAATAAAATGATACTTGCACTAATAGTAATAAAAATTCAAAATCTTACAAAAGTTTTAATTCAGCTTATGATACATTTTTACCGGTTATACATGTAAAATCTTGCATGATATGAGTATATAAAAATGTGATATAATTGGCTTAAGTTCGTTTATTTGTATTATTTGATGCGATAAAGAATGTGACGCTGCATCCTATATTGTATCTCGCCACGTCTGATCATATAGTGAAGAACCTTAGAAATAATTCGTTCAGGAAAACCCTGCAAAAAATCAAAATGAAATTATTCAATAAGAATACGTATACTGCATCAAATTTATTATAAATATTTAAACAAAATAAGAAAAAATTCCAAAATAACCGAGGCGTTTTCGGCTAATCAATTTACTCAATTGTTATGCAACGGTGAAATAAATTTTGAAATAAATTTTGCATCCTTCATTGTCTGAGAAACCAAGGCTGCCTAGCAAATTTAGGAGATTGGCTGCCAAAATTCAGTTCTAGTAAATCAAATATTCATGGAATGAATTTTCAAATTTTAATACATAAGAATGAGAACAACTAGTATAAAACTAGTGTGATTTCACTCATGTAAGCCAACAAAAGTTGTGCAAATTGATCGTATTGTCAGGAAGACCTAGAGAAACGCACCTTGTCTGGAGTCCATAGTATGCATGATAATTTTCAGTCAGACCGCGGAATTGGAATATTCCGAGATTTTTCGTCAGCGTCGTAATCGGCATCGTCAATGAGGCTAGCCATTCTTAGCACCGCACCAAACTCGTCAAAGACAAGTGAACTCAATCCTATAAATAATTGTCTGCTAAACGGTTGCGGCGGCCCTCCTACTTGGTGTATTCACCTACCCTATATCCTCGTATCACCCCTTTATTATCACAATTGCTTACTTGCTTATTTGAACTTGGATCTGGTGTGCCCTTTCGAATGCATTTCATGAGACCTATTCACATTTCTTGCTGGCTCCCTCATCATCCCGCTATGCTGAGAGTGTTGATCCTTCTGCACCAGGACAGAAGGAAAGATATCACAAGTATTCAGCAAACAATTGATTATACGATTGACTTCACTTGTCTTTGTAGAGTTGTGGTGTGGTGCCAAGAATGGCAAGACACATTGATGATGCCAACTACGATGATGGAAAAGAATATTGGAATGTACGAAGGCCACGGTCCGACTGGAAATTACCATGCATACTATGGATTCCGGACAATGTGCGTTACTCTAGGTCTTCCTGACAAAACGACCAATATTTTTTGCGCTATTTCCTAAAAATGGATTCTTGCCCTAATGATGCTTGTCATAGGCGAAAGTTTAGCACAGGTTCATCGGATTCGCCGGGCGGTGCGCCAAAGACTTCTTCGTACAATATTCTTCACTTCCTCCTGCTTCCAGCGATACCATTTCATGAAATCGTTCAAGCCAAATTTTCCTTCGAAATAAAATGTTGTCACAATAAAGTACTAAGAAATTCTTTAAAACCCAGCTTTTATTCATATCTTCGTTTGAAAATGAACCAATGAGTTAAAATTCCTATTCGTTTTATATCTAAATGATAAAATAATATAGCTCTTGACGAAGGACTCAGACTTTTATGCCTCATTGGAAGCCGACTATAATTCGTCGTTAAGATTAAAGCAGTCCTCGAAATATCTGGTGTATGGCAAAAGATGATGAGCTTTCCCCTATAACTTAAAAAGAATGGCAATATCCAAAAGATACCCAACGAAACCTATCAGCTCGCAATATTAAACGAAATGAACGATACTCTTATAATAGATTACATTACCTGTCTAGCAAAATCTTGTATGATAGCGTGCTCCGAAACTTGGCTACCAATAACAAATCTTCGCTTTAGTTGCTTTTCTGCCCGAGTAATAGTGTCATGCTCTTCCTGCGTAGTGAAACCCTCGGCACCATCAACGGCTCCAGATAATGCTGCGTCAAGAGTAGAAATCTGAAAAAGTCTGAGAGCTTCCTCGACATCAGACTCAACCGCAAATGGTGCAAGACGCATCTTGGCCAAAGATTCGGAGATACGGATAACTGCTTCGAGTTGCCTTAAGAGTAAAGGTGAATCAATAAAAAGGAGATTAAAGAAGTAATATTTTAAAACAGTATAAAACTCAAGTGCTAATCAATAAAATTTTATAGAAATAGAGATGTGGGTAGACCTCGTTGTCGCAACTTGGTCTTGCTGTCAGGGAGACTTAGTAGAACGCACCTAATCCGAAGTCCTCTGCCGTAGTAGTTATCAGACAGTGGACTTGGTACATTTTCAAACGCTTCGCCGGCATCATCAGTGAGTTTTGCCATTCGCCGCACCAAGCTACGAACTCGTCAGAGACAAGTGAAGTCAATCCCTCGACAAACTTTCTGCCAAAAAAGGTTACACTGTCACTCCTTTCTGCCCCGGCCTATATATCTACTCTTTACCATCTTATCAAACTCCCGCAATATCGCAAATTCTCACTTGTTTACATTCCACTCGTCAAAATGTGTTCCCTTTTGCTGCACATCTAGTGTGGCCTCATCATAACTTGGGAAAAAATAGCATACGAATCAAGGACCATCATAGACTCTGCAGGAAAATGAATACCGAAAGATGAGAATTAGCGGAACACATCGCACAGACTGGACACGAGGTCAATTGGAAGGGAACAGAAAAAATGGCCTCATACGGTGAAAAAAACAAGGAAGCGGAAGATTGGAAAGCCATTAACATAATTGAGGATAAAAATCTAATGGACAGGAGATTGGAGGAAGGTAGAGCTAGCGATATCCTTGCCTACTGCTTAAGCAACCTCGGGGAAAACAAAAATACAGCAAGACCAGCAATAAGAAAACGGTGAATCGGGGATCTATCGCTAATCGAAGAGAAATAGATAGAAATAAGGAAAGTGAGGAGTTTCGACAATCAAGCGAGGATGTTGTCAGTGAATGATGCCCATTTCGAATAAATCAGTAGAACTTTAGTGGCCTGGCAGTCAGGGAGCTGGTCAGACGAATAAGCAAATCGTCACAGAAATTAAATGTTATGGCCAAAATATATAATAAATCCACTTGAGATACAGCATTTGGCCAGAGTTAGGCGCCACTTGTTTAATCAAGGAGACGATCCGTGAAGGCGATGCCTGATACCTCCAAGCATGGGAATCAGGGCCTTGTCGCTCTATTCGGTGAGGCGCCAGTGTACATGCTTCTAGAGCCTTGAGAAAGTGCTTGGAGTGTAATACACACTTAGACTGTAACCGAATGAAATCGGTCAACCAGAAAGATAAGGAACGGATCCACGGGACCATGAGGGGGATCCGGGTTG